AGTCATCATACCACTCCAGTTGAAGTTGCTGGTAATATGGCTGAAACAGTGAATTATGTGCAGTTTGCTGACAGTGACATGTACAGTCCTGATGTCGCCCTAGACAATGATGAGAATGAAATGTGTGATGAAGAAAGTTTATTGGGCGGATCAGATGATGATGAAGAAGAAGATAATGTCGACGTTCTCGTTGACCTTGACAATGCCCCCATTCCACCTAGACCTGAAATCCCTTTCTATGAAAACATCCACATGGGTGGTGATTTTGACATTAGTAACCGCGATGTCGTTCCCTGTAACTGAATCTGGAACGCTGAAAATCCAGAGTTGGGCAAAGGGATGGTTTTCGTTGATAAGAAGCAGCTCGTACATGCTGTGAAATTGTACCATGCAACAAATAATTGAGACTATAAAGTCGTAACCTCCAAGCGAGACGTTTGGGTGTGTGCTTGCAAGCACGATTGCAGCTGGTGGTTGCGTGCATCTCTTAGTAGGAAACATGGTCTTTTTGAAATAAAGCAGTATAGGGGTCCTCACCATTGTTTATACCCACGAATGAACAGGGACCACACTAATATTAGCTCTAGTTACATTGCTTCTCATCTTTTGGGACAAGTTGCGGTGAGTATACAAAATACATTTTTACATATATATACATATTTGTTTGTTTATAGTGTTCACACCAAAATAATCTGATTCATAGGTATTGTCGTATGCAGAATGAACCTGATATGCCAATTAAGAATGTCATCGAAGATATAAAAAAGACTATGAACTATAGTATGTCATACAAGAAGGCGTGGCATGCAAGGGCAAAGGCAATTAGAATGGTATTCGGGGATTGGGATGAATCATATAGGTTGTTGCCTAAATTCATGCATGCATTACAAACATCTAATCCTAGCACCATTGTGCAATGGAAGCATAGATATACCGGAGGTATAACCATTATGCCCGTCTTCCACTTTGTTTTCTGGTTTTTCAAACCCGTCATCGATGGATTTAGATATTGAGGTGCAAACATCTTTTCGCCATGGACGAGGTTGCAATATACAAATTGTGCGGATGAATCAACCCACGTGTAGTTGTGGGAAATATGAGATAAGACACTATCCATGTTCCCATATACTCGCTGTAATGTCTAAATGCGGTGACAATCCATTCGAGTATGTTGATCCAGTATATAGGCTTCCTGTATACATGAGGGTTTGGGAAACTAAATTCAATCCAATACCGCATCAAGATTATTGGGATGATCCGCAGTGGACCTTAATGCCTAATGTACTTCGTCTGCAAGAAGTAAAACGTGGTCGTACATCTATGTCTCATATTCCGAATGAGATGGATATATCAGATAGGCGTTTGACCACTCGTTGCAGTGAGTGCCAGTAGACAGGTCATGATAGGCGAACATGTCCGGCGCAACTTGGTTGATGAAGACTATGTAATACTTACATATTGTAATAGATCATTTTTTAATTCTTTGTTTGTAATAGATCATTTAATTCTTTATTTGTAAACGGGGTCGTACATTTAAATAGATCATTTTTTATTTGTAATAGATCATTTCTAATTTTTAATTCTTTATATATTGTAATTGTTTGATTTCCTTGAAAAAATTTTCAACTAACATACTAAACAAATAAATTAAACTAAATATGTATTCAAAAACATTTAACTATATAAAGAAAGGCTTAAGTTTTTTATTCTCTACTTGATTGAAAATGTCTATTACAAAATTTTAGTAAAAATCACATAGTTTTTCAACCATTTTAAAATTTATTATTTATGAATAAATTTTATATTTTCGAATGCTGCAAGCATTTTTTACATTTACAATTTATGAATCAGATCTACGTAATTTACAAATTTTATACTTTATTGAAACTTTTAGCATTACAAAATCAATAATGAAGTTTTGTCAAATATGCCATAAATGTAATTAGCAACCTCTTATTGAAAAAAAAATTCTCATTCAATTTTTTTGCAAATATTTATGTTCGAAAACTATCCACATGTTTATACTCAATATTAAGCTTATGTAACTGAGACCCTAAAATTATTTTGTTAAAGATTTCTATATTAGTTATAGCATAGATAACAGTAGGCTCTGTTGAATTGCTTATCATATTTAATGGTACATAAATTGATACGTTTAGATTTTAGTGAATTGCTTCCATGTTAGTGGCACATAAATTGATAATTTTAAAATAATCGATCACATTTGTTTTTCAAGTCATCATGTATGGAATAATTAGAGTTTAATTGTAATAGTTAAATTACATGCTCACCAATACAGTTTTTTGAAATAAAAATTAATTACATTTTAGTGAATTGTTTCCATATATGGTGTCACACAAATATAAATTTGTAAATAGTTGAGCATACTTTTCATTTACAAATCGTAATTTATGGAATAATTACAGTTTTCCTGTTATGATTAAATGAGACTTTTATTGTTATGATCTAGTATTTCACTTGTACAGGCTTCATGGCACATCTACCTGATGAGGTCCCACTATGCATTCATCCACATCGGGCTGACAGTATATGAGAGGATCCGGTATGCAATAACGTTTGTTGGACTTTACACTTACAATGAAAATACCCTACATTTTGTTTTATATTACGTGATAATACTGTAATTTAAACTAGTTATTCTGTTATGCAGGACGAGGCACGCACCGTGGTGACATGTCGGCGGGGAGATTCCGGCCTGTGGGAGCGTTCATTAGACCATAGAGTCTTGCAGTGTCTACTACGTGTGGGATTCTATGGTGTGTATCGTATAGGCCATATCAGACTGGACCACCCACTCATCACTGCTCTCGTCGAGAGGTGGCGCACAGAGACTCATACATTTCATTTCCCGATCGGGGAGGCCACCGTCACATTGCAGGACGTATCTGTCCTATATGGTCTTCGGATTGATGGGCGAGCAGTTATTGGAGCTGGCCCATCATTGACGAGGGAGCAGTGGATAGCCCTATGTGCTGAGCTATTGGGAGTAACACCTACACCTGTAGACTTACAGTCAAGTAGACTGAGGGTGAGGTGGCTGTCCGAGCAGTTTCAGGGCCATCTTCCAGACCATGCTCCATATGAGTTAGTATAGCAGCATGCCCGAGCATATATTCTGTGGCTTATTGGGGGGGTACTTCTCCCTGATAAGTCACAGAACTTGCTCAAGCTGATGTACTTGCCACTGTTGAGAGACATTGATGAGATCAGCGAGTACAACTCGGGCGGCGCGGCTTTGGCATGCTTGTATAAGATGCTATGTCGAGCAGCTCAGATGGGTGCGAAGGAGATCGGAGGACCCCTTGTCTTGCTACAGGTTAGTAAGAATTTATTACATGTCAATTCATATTGTATGGCATATATCAGTGTTGTAATTGCGTTCAAACTATTGCAGATTTGGGTGTGGGAGAGATTGATTCGCATTGCCCCGTCTAGGCAGCAAGTGGTTGCTCCTGGTGAGCTTCCCATCGACCACGGAAACATGCAGTTGCCAACCGGACCTCGAGGTAGCCGGTGGAGGGTTGACATGAGCCACGAGGCCGTTTCGACCTACGTAGTCATCGTGTATAAAGACCAGCTTGATCAGATGATAGAGGGCGAGGTACGAAATTTA